TAATAAAGGAAAAGAGAATTTTAATGGATCTTATAATTTTAGTAATATATTTACTCACATTACAAAATTGTATAGAAGAATTTAATATTTATAGGGAACTTGTAGAGGACATCCAAACACTCTTGATATAGTTGTTGATGAAATAAAATGCCAAAAAATCGAATCCAAAATAAAATATGAGAGAAAAACCCAATAAAAGGAAACAGAGGCAGTGGGGCCTAGGCACTACACCCCAGGTGCCTAAGTGCCTAATGGCTTGCGCCTAGATTGAAAAACAACAAATCAGCGCCTAGACACTGGGTTAAGGCCCAAAAACTTCCAAAATGCCTCCAATTATGTTCTTCTTCATTCCGAACTCTTTTTCAGGTCCAACACCAATTTATAACTCCCAATTGTCATCCAAAATAGAACTTCAACCTGATATATAACTTCAATAACATTCCAAATTTGAATTTTTCATGACGTGCACTTCAATTACAATTCTTCGATACTTCAAACATTTCAATAAAGGAAATGTTATGAAGCTATATTAATATAAGTTATTGGAAACAAATGAGAATTCAACCCGTTTATAGTGTGTAGACCCGCCTTTGAGGATAGAGAGTAAAATAAAGTAAAATTTGAATGAAATAGAAATTTAAACAAAAATATATTTAGCTGGTAGGCGCAGCCCATCTCAGTCTGACCCACCTCGAGAGAGGCCTATGGAACAAGATGGTCACAAAGAATATAATCAGTCTCAACTTGCACATCTTGAATTATGTCATATAGTAATCATATATTTTACCTTTAAAGTTATCGAACCAACATCAACCCCGTAAATATCAAAGCTAATGTCATTTATCGAATAGATGTAGGATACATAAGCAGAACGACGGAATTTGATTAGCTCTCAATTACCAACTCATTCCCTACAATTCTCACACACTTGGTGTGCACCTCATAGCCACATTCAATGCACTGGTAAGCCCACCCGGACCCTTGCTCATCGCAGTCACAACATATGAACGGGCCCCCTCCATTGCCTTCAGATACTAACATAAGTTCATGACGATGTCCTGAGTGGTGCGCAGATTTTGGGAGATTCTGAGCCTCTTCGTCCATTAGCCTCTCCAGCAATCCTATTCTGGCTTCTGTGAATGGGTATGCATTTTCTTGGTAAAGGTTTACAAGGTTCCTTCCTTGCTTGGTGACGGTTTTTCCATCCGGGCCCAAAATTACCAAGCTGGGAATTCCTCTGATATCGAAATATTTGGTGAGATCTTTTATGGCCAGATCACCTAAAGGCAGTGCCAACCATGGCATTGTCTGAAAATACAAATCAAATGTTGTTTGATCATAGTCACTTGATATGAACACGATCTCGAAGTCCTCATCACCCTTAACAGCCAGCTCTTGCTTAATCTTCCGATATATGGAAACGAGCTTGGGTGTAAATTTGACGCCAGGAAGGCACCAGTGAGCCGAGAAAAAGAGTCCAATTGTTTTCCCTGCTAAAGAAGCGACAGGAACCTGGAAGAGAAACCCGGGAAAGATTCTTTCAAGTGTCGTGGTAAAAAAACATCTTATAAATCTGCTGTTATACTAATATCAGAGTATGATCTAATCCTAAACACGCACGCACTGCAAGTTATCTTCCAAAATAGGGAAGAACATAAATGCAGCCACTCTAATCGCCAAAACCTACTGCTTGGACATTATGACTAGAAGTCTAAAAATTCAGCTTTTGTTATAATCCAAAGTGACAAAACAAGAACAATTGCCAAAGATTATGTGAATTACAGTACAATGGACTTACTTGTAGCGTGGAATGGCCCAAGAGAAAATCTCTTTCATTGTTGGTTAGTAGATCTTTAAGAGTCTGATTTTTGTGTTTGTCTCTCTCTTTCTCCAGCAATTCTTCCAACCTCTCTTCGGTAAATGGATAAGCTTGTATCCCATAGCGATAAATAAGGTCGACCCCATCTCGAATTGCAGTACCTTCTTTCTTGTTTGGTTGTAGAACAATTAGACAGGGTATCCCTTCAATATCAAACCTTCGATTCAAGGCTCTCTTCATCTCCAAATCGGAGAATGGAACTGCAAGCCATGGCATGCAAGCACGATAATTATTGAAGGCGTCCTGATCTTCATCAGATGAGACAAAGACTACCTCAAATCCGGGATCACTGTGTTTAAGTTGCTCGTAAGAATTGGCTAGCACTCGAGTGAACTCTTGACAAGGTGGATACCAGTTAGCGGAAAATAAAATGCCAATAACTTTGCCTTCAATGTCAGAAATTTTCACCTGCCTCAAACACGGTGTTTCAGCCATTTCAGAACAAGAAGTCTATAGCCAACAAAAGCTTTGATGATATAGCCATTAGTGGATAACCACACATTTCATGGCACTTACAACTTTTATTAACTTTTAAATCACATATTTAATTAACTTTTATCAAAATCTATTAAAAAACTGATTTTTAGCAAAATCAAACAGGCAAATAAGCACATAGATATCTGAAAATGATGATTTCACTATTCGAATGCATTGGAGCACATGGACAGTGAATAGCACTAATTTGGAACTTACAGCCACAGCGATAACAACAAAAAGAAATGAAGTCTTGTACTTGATAAATTTGGAGTTCGCTATACAAATCATATTTCTTCAGTCCAATCGGGTCATTGCTAGGTCTACCAGAACAAAATGGCTATGCCTGCACGTCTAGCATCTTTTTTTCACAGGATCGCTATAACTCACTCCATTGAGTTCTCCGCCGTAGAACTAAACAATTACACCTACTTGTTCAAATCAAGAATTAAAAATGAAAATGCACATCCTATTTGTGGCTTATGATGACGAAAATAATCCATTCCACTCCAAACTCTCTAGGACAAAACTAACAAAAAGAAACCTTAACATCATAATCTAAATAGACTGAAAATATAAGCAGCAAAAGAAGTTAAAATCTTATCCATTCTAGTGTCTAGTACTACATATCGAATGTAATCTAAGTAGACTGCGAAAAAGATTATCTGGCCTGCTTAACTACATTTGAACTGCAGCCAATACGAAAATCTTGAGCTTCTTTACTGCCTTTCACCTTTTAATAAAACAAGGAAATGGATCAAAGCTTACCATGCCAGTATGCTTTAGTCACTTATGGGCACCATAAACAAGCATAAATCTGTGAAAATAGACAAATTTTCACGGAAAATAACGCGAAACTAAAACAAGATTTGTCATGGTCATATTATATTCGAAAATTTTGCAATAACGCCTAATAATATGAGCAAATTTCATGTCCAGCAATGGTGAAACACTGTATGTGTCGAGTTGGTGGATCTTGGGATATGTCGTCAAGGTCCAGTGGATGGTACAATTATTTAGGAGTAGAAGGGTAACTGAGGCGTCATGCAAGTCACGAGAAATGGACGAAGATTCTTATATAGAAAAAAAAGGAAAGCATGTCTGGCTAAAAAATTATGTACGTGTCAAGTTTTTAATAAAGGATGAATCCAAATATTATTGGTGGGTGTATTAAAGACAAATTTTAAATACGATAACACCATCATAATTATGATAAACACGATCAAGGCTGTTTCTGGGCCTTTGAACAACAAACTTGCAACCTGTTTATCGATCTATTCAAATAAATTCTAGTACTAAATTTGATATCATCAAAGATGTGCCTAATTCGTTAGCATCCACAAGTTATTCAGTTAATTCACAAGTTATATACTCAGTTAATCAGCCTTCTCCTTGAGAGCAAATTTGGCTCCATGGATATATGCTCAAACCATGTTTACAAAATCTTCAAACTAGGTACTACCCCCACCCCTCCACACACACACACACACAGACCTGAGTTTCAGTAGGAGAGAGCAAAAAGTCACGATCTTTGGAGCCCAAAAGAGACAACAATCTGGAGGCAGAGACAAGCCCATCAGACTCGTCATAAAATTCATCTTCTTCATTTGTTTTGTGGCTATTCACTTCTAACTTTTTCACATCTTCTTCCTTCATACCTCTCTTCCTCTTCTCTCTCTATATCTGTCTCTGTCTCTATCTCTATCTCTCTCTCTCTCTCTCTCTCTATATCTATATCTATATCTCCCTCTGTGTGTGCGTAAGTGCAGCAAATATTTTACTGTTTGTCGAGTGATTTATAATTTCTTTACGGCATGATCCCATGCATCCGCATCCAACAAATTAGACAAGTAACACGTAGCATTCAGCTTTTCCACTGTGCTTTTATCACCTACAGCTCATGTCCATCATACATGATGCTGCACATTAGTTTGGTACTGTCACCTGTATGGTAGACTTCTAAAGTCAATTTTAGGATCTGTTGGTTTGTTTGGTATTCTCACTTTTCAGCTAGCTATTCCATAATTTGATCAACCTAGTAATGGAAATGTATATGTTAAAAGTTCAACCTTGTTGATTACTGTTTCATCTAAGTGACGTGAAATTTTAATCTTAACACGTTCTCGCAAGATAGCGGGTTGCTTGAAAGCACTAATCTTGATATTCGATTTCTTATTTCAATTTTAGATTGATTAAATTACTCATTTGAACTCCAGACTGAAATTTCTATTACACCTCGTCACAACAAGAGACAACCACTCACTTCATCCAGTGTAGTATAGAATGAGCACTGCTACGATACACTCCATTACTTTGACAACCACAAAAAATTGCATGCCATAGCATCACTACTTCTCCAACTATAGTTGTCAGATGTTGAGCATCCATTCCCGAATCTGCACAATCACAGCTGAACTGCAGAGGCAATTCAAAGGCCATCTCTNTTGTCAGATGTTGAGCATCAATTCCTGAATCCGCATAGTCACAGTTGAACTGCAGAGGCAATTCAAAGGCCCTCTCTTTTTAAATATCAATAATTCCAGTTTCTTGTCAAAGCTCACACCTTATATCAATATTCGTTCATGGATTTGGAAACTATTGTTATGCCTCAATCTGTGAAGTTCTTATTACTGCCCATGTTGCAGCCAATTAGAAAATAACAAGAAGTCATCTAAAGGCCCACAATCCACATCACTTACTTACTTGGCCCAACTGAGACAATCGAATAAAGATAGCTGAAGTGATGCCTTCGCTCTAATCGAATCAGCATGTAGAGGTTGAACCTCCATGATTGAGCACGAGGTGCAACAATGTGCTACGAACTATTTTTAAAAATGCAGTAAGTCTTTGTTTCACAAGGCATTAAACATAGCTTTGCCTTGTCCAAGAGATCCACAATACGAGATCTTTTGTACGGTTGATTGAATTAACATCTTTGTAATATGCCTCTCAATCAATTTGTCGGTCCACTTCTTGGATTTCGACAATTTTCAGAGTCATCAGATAGTATCTCAACCTATAATTGCAGGGATGATGCCTATGAAGTTGACGCATCAAACTTCAAGATGAGGTTGCGTGTCATTCACTCAACAGTAACCTCAAGTTCACCTCTACTATAAAAGCTCATACTTAGTGTCATTTATATGTATTGCAATTTTACTCGCTCAATAGTAACTTTGTTTGGTATCATCTTTTGAACTCGGTGTCGTACACATCCTTGTGGCTCGTGTCTACTCTACATCTTACATCAAAATATAAATCTATAATTCATTGATTTGATAATTAGAGTGTGGAGAATGCCACATATGTCTAATGATTTGTTCAACTATGCAGAAACTTTACACATGAATGTGAGTGGAGTCGGAATCTATTGATCACGTTGTCCAGTTGAAAACCGAAACCGAGATCAATAAATTCTATCTTAAAATATCAACTTTGTTAAAAGAAAATTTTACTGCTAAATACTCATTTGAACTCTTTGGTTCAAGACAAAGAATTTTTACCTTTAATACAAAATTAACTAAGAGAAAGTAATTATGATTTATTTATCTTTCGTTTCTTAGATTATGATAGTGAAAAAAATTCCAGGATAAACCAAATTTGACATTTTGAAAACTAGCACTGCATTCTACGGTAAGTTTGTATCACAAGTTTGTCCAGGGTCTGTTTGAGCCCCAACTTTTAAGAAAATAGGTTTAGTAAGCCACTTTTTTGGAGAGAATGTGTAGTTAAAAAATAAGAAAAAAATTTTAGCTTACGTATAAAATTATTTTTTGGAAGAAAGTTTAACTGAAAATGATTTTAAGAAAAAATGAAAATGAGAATTTAAAGAATGAAGTTCAAACGGAGGTTTAGCCACTGTTTGACGGCCATTTTTTTGTGTAGAATGAATTTTTGAATAGTCATTTTTTTGAGAATGTGTGGTTAAAAAGTAGAAAAAAATTTGGATTTCCATGACAAATATTTTATTGAGAGAACGTGTGATTGAAAATGAGTATGAGAAAAAAAATTTATGAAAGAATGGTTGTCAAACACAAACAATAATAACTATTAGAAATTAATCAAATTAATGAAGTGTAAAGTGAAATTGAATGATTTATTTTTATTCTTAAGGGTTAGTACGCAATTATAGAAAAAAAAAAATTCAAATACGAATGTAATAATACTAAAAAAATAAAAATAAAACATTCAAGCTATATGTGCATCATCTTTTACATCATTATTTACACTGTG